ATGGATATTAAAGAACATTTTTCGCAAGGTCAAGATATTATTAGGACATTCCAGAAATAATCAATGTTTGGAAAATGAATGTTATGTTATGTCCCAATCAAAAATTTACTAATGGCGAAGTACTGGCACAGTACTGACAAATACTGGCGTAGTACTGGCACCCAGTATTGGCGCCAGAGTTGGCGTAACTTTGGGATGATAACATTTTACCAGTATTGGCTACCAGAGTTGGCACCAGTGTTGGTAACCACTACTGGTTCAGTACTGGCCGAGTACTGGCAGTTTTGTAATTTATTGTATACGAAAAGAAAGCTTTAACTGTAACAGAGATAAGTTTCACTCTAGGTAATACTTTTTTGGTATACTTAGGAAAAAGTGTCTAAAATTTTTAGTAACCCAACACAAATTAAATATTAATTAAATTAGTCAACTAACTAATTAATATTTTGTTATATAAAATCTAAAACACCAAGAATTTTCATTCCTTCTCATAATATATATTGCAAATTATTATTTTAAAAAATCAAAAAATAAATATAAAAATATGTTTATTATAAAACCAAAGTTTTTATAATATATAAAAACAGTTCAGTAAAAATAAAAATGTTTATAAAATAATTATAATGTATATAATTATGCAAATAACTATTTAATTATTTTATTATTCACTTTAATTTATTAATTATTATATCAAATATAAATAAATTAACATTGAATTCAATTCAATTTACATAAAACAAAATTAGTTTACAAATTAACTCATCACAAATATATAATGATTTAATAAATAATGAATACTAAATTCCTGAAATTAGGTACTTATTAAAAAAATTATCTAAATTATTTTTAAATTAACATTAAATTTTTGTTTATAATTCACTTTTGGAAAAAAAAACTTAAGAATAACATCCAGAAACAAATTACAATAATTTTATTGACCATTGAAATATATAAGTTTGTAGGTTTAACTATTTTTTATAATTTCTATTAAGAAAGGTTAATTATATATTTTATATTATTGATAATATAACATTTGTGCAATTTTACTTGCAATTGTATTTAATTTTTTAAATTAAATTTATATTATAAATTTTATTTTAAAAAATATTAATTTTTTATAAACAAATTTATTTATTTTTAGTTTGATCGTTTAAAATTTTTTTTGGTTTATTGCATATCTGAAAACAAAAAGAAAATCTTGCAAAATGTTTTAGACTTGGTCTCAGCAAAATTTTTTGTTTAAATAATTTTACCCACAGAAAAGCAAAATAAAGTACATTTTAATTTTGAAAAATAAAATCAAGTTAAAAAAAATTTGGATGAACAAAATATTTTAACAAAAGGATTCATAGGGTTCACTCTAGAACTTTTTGTCAACTAGTATTAATCAAAAAGAAAATCTATTTGAGCCAGTACTGGCTCAATATCGGCTCAGTTGTGGTTTGCTAGTATTAGGTGGGTGGTACTGCACAAGTACTGATAAAATGAAAATACCAGTACTGGTTCAGTACAGACTGCCCAGTCTCGGCAGCCAATACTGAACCAGTACTGCGCCAGTAGTCAACTCTGGTATAATACTGAAATTTTTGGTTCGGGTGCGACTTGTAACTTGTATTTTATCCCAGTATAATAAATTTTGAAATTAAAATGCACTTTTTAATTTAAAACTGTTACAATTTTTTTTTTTTAACTTTTTAATATTATATTTTTGAAGAAATTGTAAACTAATTATCAATATTGAAAATCTTTGTCATTCTTTTAAATACATAATATTTGATAAAATATGTACCGAGTGGGCATTTAAAAAAAATAATATATTTTATAATTTATTAAATCAATTTTATTTAATCTAATTAGATTAAAGTAATATACTTTATGTTTATTGGCTTTTTAAAGAATAAAAGACAAATATTTAACATTTTGCTATTATAAAGCTGTCAAGTACCATAAAATGTGGTTGACATATTTCGTCAATTAATTAATAATATATATCTAACTTTTTTAATTTTTATTTTCTTCAACTTAAGTATTTTTCATTTACTAATTGAAATATAAAATGACAATAAAATTTCCCTCTATAATCATTTGAGTGAATATATGCTATTTCGTTTTATTGTTTCAATTTTCATATACATTCATAATAGTACCCTCTTTCAAAAAGAGAAAAAATAAATAAAATTCTCAAATTTTCTTGAATAAGACCTCGATCAAACATTATATTTCATTTGGATTGGTTTTCCCGGATTTTCCCAACCTGAAGTCGATAAATTGAATTCCTGTTTCACATTTTCTTCTAGGATATGCTAAAATTCTTATCCATTATGTTTTTCACCAACTTCTATTTATTTCCAAAACATATATGTTAACTTACCTACATAGAATAAAAATATCTGCAAATAAATTTAAAAATGTTTACCGACTGCGAGAAATATTTTCTAAAGAAAAAACAGAATTCTATTTTAATAAAGGTCGATAACATACATGTTTATATAAAAAGAAGATATCTGTTTTTCAATTATTTTATACTCAAGTTCGCCTCTTATTAACAAACGGTTAGTGTAAAATCATTTTTATAAACGTATAGAATAAATTAAATATGTAACATATAAACAATCAATATATTTATAACTCTGACACTTAACATTATTTTATGATGCAATTGTAAAAAATTTTTAATTGTAAAAATAATATATACCATAATAAAACTTGTGTTTTTTTTCATTATTTTTTTTATAAACCTCTCTTTAAATTTTAATTTGTTAAAAATAACTCATACAGGCACTATTCCTTTTTGTTTAAACTTACTTTTTTGCGCTTTGTGATAGAAACAACAAACAAGTAACGCGTTAACGTTACCGTTAGTTTTTTTTCAAACAGTAACGTGTTACCGTTACTTTTTCTAAAAAATAACGCGTTACTGTTATTTTTTTTTTAAAATAACCCGTGAACGTTACTTTTTCTAAACAGTAACATATTATAGTTACTTTTTCTAAAAAACGAAACGTGACCGTTACTTTTTCTAAAAAGTAACATGTTACCGTTACTTTTTCTAAACAGTAACATATTATAGTTACTTTTTCTAAAAAACGAGACGTGACTGTTACTTTTTCTAAAAAGTAACGCGTTACCGTTACCGTTGTCTTCTATTAGTAAACGGCATTGAACTTAAACCACCTAAAACAACATTTCTCACATGAACATGAAAACTGTCTTAAAAATACTTTTTATGACAGTTGGTACTGCCATAAATAGTCTTTTTAAGACAGTGCCTTATAAAGTGTTCAACCAAAACAGATACTAAAAAGTAACTTTCTCGTGTTAATGGCGGAAAAAATTTTTCACCACCTCTACAATTAAAAATTTTTTTCTTTTTTATTTCATAAAACTCCTTTCTTTTGAATACATTTATTAACAATAAATTATAAAAATTATTTCTTTGATATAAAAAAATCATTTTTTACATTAAATTTTTTAAATTAATAAACTTTAAGCATTGTCATATACGCAGAGGAATTTTCTACTTGCGTTAATATTAAAAATATATTTTTATTTATTTCAAATAAATTTTGTCTGTAAATAAAAAAATATTTATCTCAAAATAACTTTTTATTTGTTTTAAATAAATTTTTTTGTTGCATACGTTTTCACTGCTTACATTAACTCTAAGAATTAAATTCAAATTCTACGGGGAGGATCGAACCCCCGTCGTTTAACGTAATCTAAAACTTAAACTAAGAGCGTTTTAAACGACCACAGCTATTGAAACTACTTGAGTAATTTTATTCTATCTATATAAATGGTAACGGTAAAAAATTTTAGTTTTTATAAAATATAAGGAATTTAAAATTTTTCTATTATTTGAAATTAATTTTTTTAAAAATAAAACTATAATAATTATTTAACTAAATTATTGTTTCTAATTAGAAGATAAATAAAATAATAAAGTAAAAATAAATTATTTATTTGATTAAAATATTTTCTCAAAAAAATAATATATTAGCATTAAAAACATTCATTACTTGTATATTGACAAATTTAGTTTACTTGAATCAATAAAATAAAATTGCTATGTCAAATAATTTTTAATTACATAAAATAAGCAAATATTCCACCAAAATAAATAAAACATATTGTTTGAAATAATTCACTACTTTCGTTAAAATTAATAATTTATTTGATTCAAATATTTTTTATTTGCTTTCAAGAAATAATATATTAGCATTAATTTTATTAATTATACAGTTAGCATTAAGTTTACTTGAAATAATAAAATAATATTTTTGTGTCAAATATTTTTTAATTGCGTCAATAAATAATAATAATAATAATAATAATAATAATAAATAAATAACCAAATATTTCATCGAAATAAATTAATTATTTGAAAAAAATTTATTATTTTTAAAAAAATTATTTATTAGCTTCAATTAATTATTATTTAGTTGATCAAATTAAAATTTATTTGTTTTAAATCAAATGTAATTCAAATGATTGAAGTTATTTGAATAAAATATATATTTTTTAGATGAAAGTTAAAAAATATTTGATCCAAGTAAATATAAATAAAAATTCTTATTTTTCGAATAATTTGAATTCACCAAATAATTTTTTTTTTTTAATATTAATAAATAAAATTTACATTCCATATATTTTTAAAAGCAAATAATGTTTTTGTCTCTTTTAATTTGTGAAATGAAAAAAAAGGGGAAAGAAGCAAGTGAAATCCTCTGTCTTTCTCAAATAAAATTCACATTTTATGATAGTAATTTGAAGATAACTGAAATTTATGTATTAACTTGTATATCTTGTTTTTCTTTTTAATATAAGTTATTTCGTACTTTTTGAAGAGTTTTCTTTCGTTTTTTTTTTTTTTTTTCAAGAAGAATCATTCAAGAAAATTGGGATGTTGAAGAACTCTGGTGACGCGGACCAACAGTGAATCGAGGTGAACTTTACCCCATGGGGGGGTTGTACGCCCCATCCGTCGGGGATCAATAGCAAGCCAGTGTGCTTCGCGCCGCGGAAAACACACGTTGCTCATCAGGTGTGTAAAAGATTTGCAGCATCTACAGTGAAGAAATTTTCTTTCAAAAATATATCTCTTGTTTTTTTAAAAAAAAGGTCTTTTTCTTTAAAAAAAACAAAAAAAAAACAAAACAATGATATTGTGTTGCTTTATTTAAAAAAAAATCTTTTGAAATCAATTATCATATTATAAATTTGCTCAACTTGAAATAAAAAATTAACAAAAGTATTGAATAATAAAAAAAAATAATTGCTTACTTAATGTATATATTTATATTTATGTTTCAAAATTAAATTTATACTTGTTTACTTTTGCTTGCAATTTTTGTTTATTTGTAATTTCATCGTTACTATTTAGGGTAGAGAAAAAAATAGTTAAAAAAAAAAAAATGTTTTAAAGAAAATTTGAAATGAATTTTATTTACAATTTGTTGTTTATTTATGTGGGTCAAGTTTACAGTAGATGTAAAGAAAAAAAAATTAAAAGATATTGACAGATATATAGATGTAGACTTATGGAAATAGAAGGAACAAGGGTGGAAAAACCGATCGATGGGCTTTCTTTTTACTCCCAATTTTTATAGACGTATAGAATAAAATTTTATTTTATTTTTTTTTGTAAAAAAAATAAAAAATTTTCCACAATAATAAAAATAAATTGTTCTCTCTTTGTTCATGTCAATTAAAAACTCATCAGAGATGCAAGATGCATGAAAAGAACTTTAGTAGAATAAATCTATTTTGTTCATCAACAATCAACTTTTAAATTCAATGTGCAATTTGAACTTGAGTTAAAAAGAGGTGTGTTTCTAAGCAAGCCAAGTATATTAAAGGGTATGTAAATTCAAATTTTATTTTAATATTATTATTTTTTAAATTTAACTTTTATTATAAAGTTTTCGATTTGAATTATTTCGCAAAACTGATATTAAACTTATTTAATAGGTTACAAATTGAAAATATAAAATTTAAAAATTAATATATATATAAATTAGTGTTTATTATTATTATTGTGTCTTTTTATTGAATTATGTCAAATTAACAGAGATTGCTATGGGATTTTCGATCTCATTGGACCTTTATAAATAGTTTTATTAATATAAATTGTCGGTTCCGGTCCTTACAATACATGCAATACAAGTATACTTTCTGATTTTACTTATATATGTGTTCCTTTAACGAAGTGTTTTTAATATTAAAAGAAAATTTTTATTTCAAAAAAACATAATTTTAAAGAAAAAAAAATATTTTTATCATAAATAATTAAAAAATAATAATAATGATAATAATGACATATGAGAAAATGTATAATTATCCATTCAAGTTCATAACATCCTCATTAGGTCAAAAGCTAGAGCTAATATCTCTTGAGACACTTTTCTAACTGAGGGTCTAACAATGAGATATATATATATATATATATATTATGTTATACTTTTTTTCTTTTTCTTTCTCTTTTTCTTCAATATGCACGTGAAAAGCATGTTTAGTGTGCTATTGTTACTAGTCAATTATATGAAAAAGTTAATACTACAGTTTACTATAGTTTAATTCAAACAATATCCGGCGTCAATTTTCAAGTTTCAACCTTGATTTCTCATATCAAATTTTTTTTTCTTTTCTCTTCTATAGGTAATTTTTCTGTAATCTTAATTAACGTGGCAAATCTAAAAATATTTATTTATAAATTGTCCGTAAATTATAAATAAATATTTCTCATAAATATATAAAAAAAAATTTTACATGTATTTTATTTATTTTAATATAGTAAATTAATTAATTTAATTTTTATAAAAATAAATTTAATTTACCTATTTATTTATTTTTTTTTTTAAATTTTTTAAAATAATATTTATTTATTAATACATAATATTGTGTTTATTTTCAACTTTGTAATATTCCACATATATTTCATGGATAAATAAAAATATACAATTTATGCAATGGTTGTACTACTTGGTGTACTATTATTATGAATTAACTGTGATTGCTCAAAAGAAACAAATGATATGAAATTATATATTTGCTTTTGTTATGAAATTATATGAATTAAAAAGATACACTTTTCATTTTTTTCATTATGTTATAATTTATTTACAAAAAGGAAACATTATTATTATTATTATTAACCTATATTTTGTTTTATATTTAATATTTGTTTATATTTATTTTATTATTATTAAAGTTTTCGTCTTTATTATTTATTAATAGAACAAAGTTAATTACAAATACGCACCAAAAGTAAACAAAACTTTAATGTCCGCGTAAATTAATATAAGAAGGGTTAATAATCAAATCGGTGACATTAGGATAAAGATATACAAAAATTAAAATAAACAAAAAGACGAAAGGTGATAAAAAAATTTTTTTTTAAATAATTGACAAAATTAAATAAAAATAAAAATAAAACTGAAGCACCCGATATCGATGGGTGTTACGAAGAATAACATTATCGAGATTCGGGACGAAAAAAAAACCACTCTCGAAGAAAATATATACATAGTTTTCATTTTAAGTTTTTTGTAAAATAAAATAAAAAAAATGTAGAAAAAATAATTTATTATTATTGTTATGCATAACACAATAAACGTGTAAATTTACAAATAAATAAAACTAAAACTGTAGACGTTTCAAAAAAAAAAAAAATTAATAACACGTTTTTATTTAATTATTTATAAATAAACATTTATTTTACGATATTAATAATAAAAGTAAACAAATTTTATTAATTAGATCACAAACATGTTTTATAGGAAGAGGAAACATCTGCCTACTATAAAACAACTTATCATTAAAAATATGCATTTGGCAAGCAGATACAACACTGACTTAAACATTATATTTGCATATATATATATATATAATATTCTCTTTATTCTCTGTTTCTCATTTTCAAATCTCAAATTTTTTAATAATAAATTTTGTTCTCACTTTTAAAAAGCTATATAGTAGAGTTTATTAGTTTGTTTAAACAAACTAATAGAATTAAAAGTACTATAAAATATTATATTATTAGAATTATATGAGGAATCCCATTATATAACACGGTAATATTTTTAACACTTCGTGTCATCAAAAACAAAACTGAATGAATTTAATTTTATAATTAATAAATTTTTAAAAATATAAAATTATTATTATTACAACTATTTATGACAATTATTAATATCTATTAAGGTCATAGGCCAAGGTCAGTTGATTGACATATATATATATTTGAGTCCATATATGAAGTGACAAAGCTCTCTAAAAAGTTTATTGTATATTATTGTCAGTCATATAATTTTTTTTTTTTTTATATATATATAATAAAATGCGTGCTTTTTGATATTTATCATCACTAAACTATATCTACTCTTATCATTTATACATAATATTTTTATCATTTTAATAAAACTAATAACAGAAAATTAACAACAATTTTCAGAAAAGTAGGAGGAAAAAAAGGAACAAAATTTTAAATCCCAATAAAAGTACAATACAGTATAATCCACCTATAAATACACTGTATTATATGAGTAATTCTCTGTATAACTTTATATAACTGGTTTAAGTTTCAACCTTTAATTATAAACGTTTTTCATGATCTTGATAATTTTGAACTTTTGTATCATTGAAAGAAATAGGATTCTTCCTTATAAACGGTAATTGATTGCACGTGTTAAATGCAGCAAATAACGAATAGATGAGAAAAAAAAATTAAATAAAATAAATGAAATAAAATATTTGAAATTATTTATAAACTGTCGCGCGTGTTAACAAAATGTGAACTATAAAAATAGATAGTATCATACGTTAGGACGCATGATTATGTTCTAAAAATCATTAGTCAGAATTTTCATTTTATGAAATTTCATTTGTCATAATTATTTTTGAGCCGAATTTTTATTTGTTCGAATGAGTATTTTGCAGAATTTTCATCGAAACGATTTTCTATATTACAGAATTTTTATATAACTGAAAATTCACTTCACAGAATTTTTATTTGCTCAAATTTTTATTTAACATAATAGGCATTTTAAAGAATTTTTATAAAGGTAGAATTTCATTGCATACACTGAAAAAAGGGTTTGGTATTGACAACCAAACGTTTGGTTGGTATTTAAGCAACCAAATTTTTTTTGTTGAATCAACAAAATTTTGGTTGTCCCAATAAAACTTTAGTTAGTACAATAAAAATCCTTTTTTTCTAATTTTGGTTGTGTCAAACAAATTTTGATTGAGACAATTAAAATTTTGTTGATTCAACAAAAAACAATTTGGTTGCTTAAATACCAACCAAACGTTTGGTTGTCAATACCAAACCCTTTTTTCAGTGTAGAATTTTCTTTCAGATGGATTTTCATTCCTTCGAATTATTATTTAATATAATTTCCATATAATCGATTTTTCATACTACGCAGAATTTGTACTTAACTGAAAAATCATTTAACAGAATTTCTAATTGATAGAATTTTCATTTGTCCGAAATTGCAAATTGACGAATAAACAATCGACAGAAAGATTTCGGCGCGATTTTTAAAATCAACTAATCAAAAATTATCCATAAAATTGTGATCAATTAGAAATTCTGTTAAATGATTTTTAGGTTAAATAAAAATTTTGTAGAATGAAAAATCAAATATTTGAAAATTATATCTAATAATAATTCGAACAAATGAAAATTCATCTGAAAGAAAATTCTATGCAATGAAATTCTACCCAATAAAAACTCTTTAAAATGCCTATTATGCTAAGGAGGGTGGCGAATAAACATAACCTCAAAAACCTGTCAAAATTAAAAAATTGTTTTTAACGCAAACAAAAATATAATAAATATTAATTTCAAACAATTTTATAGAAGATCTAGATTTACTCCTTTCGAAAAAATTATTTTTTTCCAAAATATTTTGTCGCAATAATTATTTTTTTAACATTTAGTTTTTTTTTCATTTAAATCAGACAAAAATTGCAATTTTAACCAATTTTTATAAACAAAAGCTCATTTTACTCAGTGAAACATTCTTTACAATTGTTACCTTTTTCATATTATAATAAGAATGTTCTTAAAAAGTTATAAACAATTAAAATTATTTATTAAAATTAATTTTATTTATTAAATAACTTTTTAAGAATATACTTATTACAATATAGAAAAGGTGACAATTGTAGAGAATATTTCACTTAGTAAAATGAGCTTTTGTTTATAAAAATTGGTTAAAAATTGCAATTTTTGTCTGATTTAAAAGAAAAAAAAACTAAATGTTAAAAAAATAATTATTGAGAAAATATTTTGGAAAAAAATAATTCTTTTCGAAAGAAGTAAATCTAGATCTTCTAAAATTGTTTGAAATTAATATTTATTATATTTTTGTTTGCGTTAAAAACAAATTTTTAGTTTTCACAGGTTTTTGAGGTTATGTTGACCCGCCATCCTCCTTAAATGAAAATTCGGACAAATAAAAATTCTGACAAATAAAAATTCGAACAAATAGAAATTCTTTGAAGTAAATTTTTGGTTATATAAAAATTCTGTTTTATAGAAAATAGGTAAGAAGAAAATTCTGCAAAATAGTAATTCGAACAAATAAAAATTCGTCTCAAAAATAATTATGACAAATGAGAAATTCCATAAAATGAAAATTCTAACTAATGATTTTTAGAACATATTCATTCGTCCCAAAAAATAAAATAAAATAATTTAATAATTTTTATTTTTTTTGTGATGACAAATAAAAATTATTGCTTTAATAAATAAAAGTGGACAGCAACTCAAACTTTTTTGAGTTTAACTTTACAATACACAAAATCATGACCAAATAGTAATCACCGAATCTGAAAAAAAATGAAAATAT